TGTAGCCATAGTAGAAATTCTTCATTCGTTATTTCGTCATTTAACTTCCATTATGTAATCTTCATTAAATTATTAGTAATTGTATATTTTGTGATATTGATAATATTTTTATATAAACAACTAAAATTAATTACGGAGTTATTATTTATTTATAGTATTGTGATATAAATATAAATTATCAAATAATCACTATAAGCGTGTAGTAATTATGATGATAAATAAATTAATATCACAATACTACAAATAAATAATAACTCCGTGATTAATTTTAGTAGTTTATATAAAAATATTATCGATGTAACAAAATATATAATTACTAATGATAAATATCAAATAACGAAGATTAAATAATGAAAGTTAAACAACGAATGAATAATTAACATGATGATTGCAGTATATATAAGTTTCTGTAAATATATTGTCCATGGTGACAATAAAATCACTAACAATTTTTAAATATTCTATTGTTTATACACATCTCGACGGAACGATTCAACATAGATGTCGCTGATCCAAATTCCTCGAAGTAGAGGTCGTTACAAGTGAGAGTAGTCTGAAACAAAAGCGCTATGGTTCTATTCCCTGTCAATTGCTCTCCATTAATTATTGCTGTGGAGAATACACTTGGAATGAAAAGAAAATTTTTTTCGTTTTATGGTGAGTAGTGAAGTGTATAGAAATGCCTAAAAGAATGAAAAATTAGAGAAGAATTAAGAAGAAGAAGAATTAGGTAAAAAAATTTAGTTAAATTGATTAATGCAACCGATATATAACATGATGATGTGAAGGTTACGTTATTTAATAAAATAGCAGGAGACAGAAAGAATGTCGTAATATAATAAAAGATACTATTTTAGTTTATCTGAAAGAGGTAAACTGAAATAAATCAATATAGGGTAATAAATGATGCCCACCTGATTTGGTAGACATTCTTATAAAAAACTCCCAAAAAATTAATCTTGATCTTCGAGGTTTTTTGCTTGCATCTTGTTCTGTTCATCGGGTGCTAATTTTGCAGAAAAAAACCGTAGATATGATCAGATATGATCATATATCAGATGCTCTGTTCTCTTGAAATATAATGAATGTAATTTCGAGTCTTAACAATAAACACAAGTTATTGTCACCCATTCATGCTGATTGTCATTTTTTGTTGAAATTTTCATTTTTTTGCCTTCAAGATCATCCGAAGGTATACTAGGTCGTTGAATTCGTCTAGATACGAGCTACAATTGTCAAGTCAAAAATATAAAGTTTTAAAAAACGAAGGTGACCTTGACAATTATCGAAAAAAAAAAAAATTTTTTGAAATTTTTTTATTGCACTGTATAGCCAATCGAAAACTGATCAACTTTTGTTTAAAACATTTTGTGTCAGATTATCGCGAGTACTTGAAAAATTGTGAAAAGTGTTACGTGGGACACCCTGTATACGAATATATTCAGTGCAAATACAAAATACAAAGCTGCGCGTAATTAAAATGCTTTACAGTGATCTAAATCATCGAATCAATTCTAGAAGGCAGTTGTGCGTTGCCACTAGCAAGAAAATTTACATAAACTACTAAAAATTTTAAAATCAAAGGTTAATTGAAGAATCCATACATACCTGTATATTATAGATATGACACCAACGATGCCAAAATGGACATCAATATTTACTAATTGTAAGAATAAGAATAAAAATGTTCTAAAATTACTTATTTCCATGGAACATTCATTATACAGATTCTAAAACATCTATTCCATCAGAACACTGTTCAAAAGCGTTCCTAAAAATGTAACGCTTCTTTCTATAAAAATTTCACAAAAACAAATATTTTTTTATATGAAATATATAAATTCGAACAGAATTTTTTTAAAAACGAAAAGAACGTTAATTTTAATCTCTAAGAATAATACAAGAGAACAATTTAAAAACCCATGAAATCTTCACAAACAAGCCGAAAACAATTACGCTCTTTGAACGCACCTGTAAAGATGCTGTTCTAATAGAAGTAACACTCACATGTTAAATTACAACAGCTTGTCGAATGTCAAATTGTATTAACCAAAAAAGGTGAGAATAAAAAAAAAGGAAAAGAGAAAAAGAAGAAACAAGCGTTACATAATATCAATGTCATCGGGATGTTTCACTGTGTTGTGACACCGAATGATATCGCTATTACTGAATGGACCTATTTACCATTTTATCTCTAACGTTATTCTATATAAAGAAACATCCACTCCGACTTTTTTGTATCATTCTCGTGATAATTGAATGACGATAACGCCAGTATAAATAAATAAATAGTAGAAACTAGACGAGTAATCTTGTTTTAGTTGTATATATTCCTTTCATTTTGTTTTTTTTTCTTTTCGCATAATGGGAACATAACCAGCCATTGTTCATATAGTGAAGAGCGCAACTATATCGATGGCAATGAAAAATTGTTGATAATTTAAACTGATATAACTTCATAAAGAGGGTCATATAACGATCCACTTGGTCACATTTTAAAGAGTGAAACTTTTACTTTCACAATTGTGAGTTTGTTTTCTTCGAAGAAGATTTTATATCATATATTGGAGAAGTGAGGACATTTTTTTTTTCGAGAATTGTAAAAATTAAAACATGTGTAAAAATATTAAAAAATTATTTCCATGATTAGCTCCACTATGATCTTGAAGTAAAATTCAAGTGTTTCTTTTGTTTTTTAATAATGTGGAAGCTTTCTAAATATTCATATGTTGCATATTCCCCTCACTCCTATAATTCTTACTTATAGGTAAATATAAATATATTTTATCTGCACTTCAATTGAATGAGAACCAATCATTAAGATTAATTATCATTAATATCAACATTCATTATAATTACATTCAATATACTATATTTTATTATAATACAACAGGATTTTACATTTGGAATAAAAGACAAATCAAACACAAAATAAAAAATAAAAAATCAAAAAACAACACAAAATAAAAAACAAAGAAATTTAATTTTTATTTTAAAATGAAATTTAATGATAAATTAAACATGATGAAAATAGTAGAAAAATAGGTTAAAGAAATTTTGAGAGAAAAACTGGAGATAAATTTAATAAAATTTACGAAAGCACGCAAGAAATGAAGAAATTGCAAAAACAATATTAATTAAGATGTAGAATCAGAATAGTGGCAGTTGTTTAAAGAACGGGAAGAAAAAAATGTCTTATAACCACAGCAGTTTTCTGTTTATTAACGTAACTATCGTATTCCACTTTTCCTAAGGAAAGAAAAATGTCAAATACATTTTTCCTTTCCGAGATATTGACATTTCTCATTTACATGTAGAACCACCTATTAACTAGTATTATGATTTTAAAATATCCTAAAACGTTTCTTTAGGAAACGAAAATTTAGATTGAGAGCCACATTTTTTGTGAGTATGAGTTTTATTCTAATAATTATATTATTTTTTTTTTTTTTTTGTGGAAAGTGTTGATTAAAACAATTTCATATTTCAAGATAGCCTCAATTGAAAGATTACGTGCAATGCAACAGTATGGTACATGATGTCTAATAAATATGTCTACAATGCTCTAAATATATTGCTACATTTTGTTCTTCATGGATATATCATTTAAAAATTTTCACGTAGTAAACCAACGTGAGTATGTTTTTCTTTTTTTTTTTAAATCCAAAATGTTGCATTAATTGCACAATTATTAGTGACAACTTGACAATTTGTCTCATGGTATTTCGTGCATTAAGTTGGTTTCTTTTAAGAAACTTAACTAGTAGGCCAGAGATTTTCTGTTTAAATAGGATCCTTGATTTATTTGTTATGGAGGAAGTTATACTTTAGAAAAATATAAGATTATACAGATTATTCATCACATAGGGAATCTGGATTCTTTAACAAAATACATGTACAATTTTGAAATGAGCAAGCCTGATATAGCCATTTGATTTCTTTTGGGTCAAATGATATCGGTATTCTTGAAAAATTCTTCAATAATATTTTTGTTTGTTTCCATTCAAAGTCTTATCGTAAAATTAATTCGTTGCTTCTATCAACAAATCATGTGTAGTCAATTGCACAGTGCTTTGTGAACTGACTGTTTTCCTGGCTGTTTAATCAACTTTTTCAACGCTGAGAACTGTCCAGGAATTTGACCTTAATAGGTTAAATTTGACCAACTAAGAAATAATCACTCCTCACACAGTATAAATAATCACTCCTCACACGTATATTCTTTGCGTTTATCAATGATTTCGCTTGTTAATGTACGAAAAATTTTTAACTATATATATTTCTCGAGTATATTGTTAGAGTCAATGTCAATTTAGTGCATCATTCACGTTAGCCTATGTAAATTTGAAGAAATAAAATAAAATTTAGTTCTTATTCATATGTCTAAGATATTTCTTGAAGTAAAGTGATGATTTTCATTGTTGTTTTCCGGTTTAAAAATTTATTTGAATAAACTGATTTATTGATTTCTTCAGTAACACTAAATAACTTCGTTTTAATCTTAGGATGAAATTCTCTTCAGTCTCCTAATATATTTAAAATATAATTCGGTCTACTATTTAATATACTATTTTAGTAAACACATAAATTTTACATAATTAAAATTCATTTCTAGGCTTTATACTGTATATATAATATATGTCATAATAGTCAGAATAATTGCTCAAGATTTTAATATAATTCAATTTTTCAAGTTCGTAGCACTAAAGATAATCAAACAGTTTAATTTTTGGTGGATTGTAGAAAGAATGTATTTAGTTTTTGTATTAAAGAATTGTAAACGAGATTAATTGTCCATTTTTGAAGTTTATTTAGCTTACTTTTAAAAATGTCATATTTACATTTGTTCCTTTACATAGAATGGTTATACATAAATATCAATTTCAGAAAGAGAAAATGATCTTATTTATTCACTATTCACTAAGAATAATGTGACACAATTCAATTAGATAATACTTTTACTTTTATGTATCTCGTTTTAGTAGTTTTTATAATACTGCAACATTTCCATGAAATCTTAAGTTCTCTATATTTTTTGTTTACCATAAGAAGATAGTGTAAATAATAAAAAAATTCTAAAATGGCATTTGCAGTTGTTCATTTTGTTCTACATGAAAAGAAAGGAGAGAAAAACTTTAAAAACTACGTAATGCATGATAACTGACAATGAGTAGCGTTTAGAATATTTCATGTCGATGAGTGGCCGTGAGCATAACGCCGTGACGTAACACGGAACCGATGTATAACGTGTCTTAAAAATTACAAAGTCATTCCTTTTTGATTGGAAGCAGAGACGATGATTATTATCAAAAATGATAGTCAAGAGATATCGTGACGTAACAACATTTCGTCAACGATCTGCTTTCTATATTACCTAATCGCTTCTTCTTATTTCAATGCAAATGTAAAAATAATGTTAATTATATAATAACATAATAATAATTATATAATGTATAATATAATAATTAATATATAGTATATAATAATAATATATAATAATATTATATAATGTATTATAATGTAATATTATATTATTAACAGTAAATAAAGTTTAGAACAAATTTAGAAATATATAGTGTCTCTTTTCCTGCAAAACAGTAAGCAGAAACAAGAGGAAAATGTGGTATAAATATAGACTCAAAAATGCATTGTTAAAAAATATATATAAAAAATATGAAATAACAATTTTTGACATTTACCTACAGCAGTTTCATTTAAAAGTATCATCTGTTCTTATAAATGTAGACCTGATATGTATGTAGATCTGATTCTACAAAATTTACTACATTCCAAATTTTTCTTTCATTTCATTAAATGCATCAGAAATTCTTTGCATTAATTTCTCACGCCTTTAACTGTTGCCTTTTCTTTTGATATTCCTCGAGGAATTGATTCTTCATTAACTTCTGATTTGTAAAATTTTCATAATTTCTGGTTTGTAATTTCGTTCCAGTAACCTGAGTGATCTCCCATAATTATTTTTACAATTTTTAATATTTATTTTTCCATATGTTTTTTTAAATATTTATTGGATACTTCCGATAGTATTGGTATTATAATATACTAATTATATACTAAGTATTTTAGCTTTAACTAAATTATGTAAAATAATCTAATATATTCTTCATTTTAAATATTCAATAAACATAATCAAACAAAAAATATTATATAAACATACATCATTTAAAACTTCATTTTAAAAATTGTGTGTTATGATACATGAATAATGTTAACAAAAAACTTCAAATATAATATTTCTGATATTCTTTAAACATAAATCCATAAATTTACCAATACCATATATAATTTCAATATTAATGATATTAATGTTTTTTCGAAATTTTCAAACTTTTACTGTAAAGGCTTAAAGATCTTAATAATTGGTATTTTTCTTGTCAATTTAATTTTTCGAAGAAAATGATTTCAGGAAAAAGAAAATTAATTAAAAATTTTTCGAGAGATTTATATACTTTCTACTTTTAATATTATATAATAAATTATACTTTCATTTTTTGTATTTCTTGGTATTTTATAGATAGTTAATAGACATTTAAAACTACTTAACCAATCACGTAAAATATGAAATGATAATCAATCAGCCTCGTTAATTACAACTCTAACTAAGTTTAATCGAAGAATTTTATGATTATAAGTTATTGTTATGCGTATAATCGGCTGTTCAGTTAATCATTTCCATTACTGAAAACTAAAGCAAAGTTTTTATATAAATTTATATTTTTATAAATACAGAAACAAATATAAAAATCATTACTCTCTTGTAATAACATTTGTATTTTATATCAGTGAACAATGGTCTATCATTTTTTACTATTTCTCATTTGTTTTACTTATATAAGACAAAAAAGCAACTAGAAATCATTCAAAAATTATAAAAATCCTTCTTACAAAACTAATCGACTGTCCGTGAAGAATTATACAAATAATTTTACAGATAAATAGTTACAGAATTATTTATTTACTGTAAACGTTGTCTCGAGTCTAACAATAGTTCAGTAATCGAATCGATAAGACATTCTGTTTGTATCGTTCACGATAGAAACTTTTGTGCTATACACATACACAAATATGTTTAGTACATTAATACAAAACGAAGCTATGCACAATTAAAGTGTGTTCCACTAACCTAAATCTGGTGGTGAACCGTGCGTTGTCTACAAGGAAGAAATCCAACAAGGCAAACAGCAACTGTTAAAAATGTTAAAAACAGGAGGAGGAGAAGGAGAATCGACTAAAGCTAACGATACCGAAGTAGACATAAATATTTACTAAAAATAAAAATAATCCAATCATGCACAAGAGAAAAAGAAAGATTTTTAACTAATAATTGGTACTTTTTAGATGATTAAAGTTGAAATAAGTAGCTAAACGAAATACCAACAAGTAACATGTATAGTGTCTTAACAGAAAAAAGAAATTCAACAATGGTTACAATAATATTGTTAATAATACTTAGACTGTTAGTTTCGCCTAGTTACATACAGGCACAATTATAGCTCCTCCTCACTGGAACTACTTTAAATAAAAATAAGAAACGACAATTACAGACTAAACACCTACAGCAAAATCGATTAAAAGATACAGATTGAATCTCTGGAAAATTATAGCAAAATAATTAGCATTTTTAAGGGATAGAAATGTTAATTTCCACACATCAAAAGCCTAATCAAATTGAAGCCACAGAATGGTACTAAGAGACACTTGCTCAAAAGCAAATACTGATAAAATAACTAATGAATTAAAAAATATCAAAATCCATATATATAAATATGATACCTCCTCTTCCTTTATTGTCCATGCAGCTCTAAAGACAATAACAAAAAATCTGTAAGCTAAACACAATAATAAGGTTTGAACTATTCAGGTTAAAACGTGAATATCTCAATGCTTTCATTGTCAAACATAGGGTCATACAAGAAATTACAGATTGCTTGCTTGTGTAAATGTGGAGGATGTTACTTGACATCAAAGTGTCAACAAAGAAAGTTTGAAAATAGGAAATGCTACTGCAACTGTCAAAGAAGTCACTCGACAAGCTACATAATTTAGAAGGAACTTCGAAAAAAACTACATTCAATCTTGTGATACTTTGCAAGAATTAACACTCAGAACCATTTACAATTAATTCATTGCTAAGCTTCTCACATATATATTTACATGCGTATATATTTCACATATATATTTCACGTATATATTTACATATATTTACATCTACGAAATGAAATAACAGATCTAAAGTAACTGCCGGCTTAATCAGCAACAAACATAGAATTCGTCACTTGAAATGCAAAGAATCAGATGATTCGTGAACAAAAATCTCGACAATCTGTAATTTTTTCTGAGTATTTGTAACAAATCAAACATGGAACTTTATCAATAGATAATCCGCACGATTATGGATTGTAATATTAAAATTCACAGCACTTCAAAAGAAAAGATAAAACAAATTATCTCTAAACCTAAGAAAATTCCCCGGACTTGACCTAAATAATAATGATAAATTTATCAAAGAATTGTTCGACCAAGCAATCCGAATGATTGATATGTTCAATGCTATTATTAGATTACAATACTTTTCAAGTACGTCAAAGCTGATACAACATAATGTTCCCTAAATCGGGCAAAAACGTCCACGACCGTCAAATACACCGATATCACTATTACTAACGCTATCAGAATTTCTAAAAAGAGTAATTCTCATATGGTTAAAAAAAAAAATCACAGACAAATAGTTAATTCTTGATCATCAATTTGATTTTAGAGAAAAGCACGCTGCAATTGAATATAGAAAAAATATTATATATTATTGAAGAAAAAGTACTAGTATTATTTCTGAATAGAAAAGGCTTGGCGTGAAGATCTGTTAATAATAGTTAAACAAAAGTTTTCACGTGAACCTACTAAAATCCTATCTTAATAATATATGATTCAAATGATATAAAGGATTCATATTCAATCGTAGAAACAAGCAAAGATATGTTAATAATAGTTAAACAAAAAGTTTTCACGTGAACCTACTAAAATCTTACCTTAATAAAATATGATTCAAACGATATGAAGGATTTATATTCAGTCATACAAAAAAATCAATGCTAGAGTGTCATAAGATAGTGTATTGTACTTGGTTCTGTACTTTACACTTTATATACAATAGATACAGCAGATAATAGTACTACAATTGGCAGTAACTTTATCAATATATGAAAAAAAATAGCAATAAAAGTTCTATAAAATTATGTAAATAAATAATATCCACAAGATTTTGTCATACTAAGCCTAATTACATTCTTTAAATGTACCTGAAAAGATGCTACTTCAATAGAATAGGTACTCACATGCTACCTATATTATACTAAACAGCCTGCCGAATGTCCATTTGGACCAAATACACAATTACCAAAAGAGATTAAAAAAAAAAAGCAAAATGAGCATTACATAATATCTGTGTCATCGCGATGTTCCATTTCACTTGTTTCTTCTGATAAATCAGAGTAACATCAACTGTATGGACCTATTTACCATTTTATCTGCAATGCTGGGGGTTATTCCATTCAAAGAAACATGTATTCCAACTTCTTTGTATCATTCTTGTGATAATGCAGAGATGATAGTGACACTATAATTAAACAAATAATAGAAACTAGACGATTAATCTTGTTTCATATGCTTTTTTCTTTCATTCTGTCTTTTCCTTTCCGTGTAATGAGAACGTAAACAGCCACTGCTCGTATATTTCTTTTCTTTATGTCGTAATCATAATGTCATTAACATCTTTGTGCATTAATGGAACATTTAAAGATATTGAACGTGCACGGTCTGTCCAGGAAATATCTATCAATTTGTTTCAGTTGTTTAATTAAACGTGAAATCTAGATGCAGGCATATACTATAAATATTTAAACTGGGAAGCAAGTGTAATTTTGAAAATAAAAATCGTACGACAATGAAGCTAGATTTATTTTAAAGATTGAAGTCTCTACTTTCAAAATACGTTATTCATTTTTTTTTTTTTTTCCAAGACATTTTTACATCATGTGGCGAGTGGGAAAGTGAAGACACTCTCTTCTTCTTCAAAAATAGTAATCTATATTGATATATAGATCAATCGCTTCAATTAGATTTGACAGATATAAAATATCTCCATGCGACATTAATATAGACATTATATTAACAATTTATATTAAACTTTATATCATATCGTCGTCATTCGAAATTAAGAATACCAATTATTCAGCTATCGATTATATTGCCATTGAAACAAAAACTCAGTTATATAGCCTAAATTCGAAATAATATATTTTGCCATATATTATCCATACCGCGGAATATTCGTTCCACAAATAGAGTTTTATGTTTTACCACGCACGCTTTATGCTTTGTGTGGCAGGGGATGATTGGGCATTTTTTAATTGATTGAAGTTATCAATTTAATTGACTGATTAATGTTTACGATGAATAGAATTAATCGTCGAAAAATTGGCTATTGATTTAATCACTATAGATAAAATTAATCGTCAATCGCTGAATAATTTTTAGATCAAAATTTACCTTACGGTTAATGACTAAATGATTGTATTTAGCTTTTTATCTAAATTTTACATTTTATTGAAACTATCAGTTTAATTCATTTAATTCTAATAACATTGATAGCTTTAATTAATACAAATATATTCCAAAGTTTATCATAATATATAAAATTTCGTTGAATTATATAGTCTTTGAACTCTTTTAAAGAAAACAAATTTCTTTTTTCATGTCATGAAAATATTACATGTTTTAAATATTTCATTATATCCGTGATAATTTATCAGATAGAATCAAATGCAATATAGGTAAATCAGGTTTAAATCATATATATTATTTTTACTATCTGTTTACTAACATTTCATCCAAACATTAAACTTAGGAAAAACTAGAAATTTAGATCATACTTCTTTTATGAAGAGTATCGAGCTTTATTATTTAGTGGATCAAAAAATATATCATTCCATCGAAAAATGTGGAGGCATGAAATTTCTGAAACTCCTTCACTTATCCTATCATGAAAAATAAAAATCATTACTGCCATATTATGGCTGTTTTTGCACAAAATAACTTTTTCATATCTCGTGAAACAACAGAGATATTGTTCCATTCTGTATATTCATTATCATATTATTAATATTGAAATTTTTGTCTCAAACCATTTTAAATACTTTGAATGCTTCATTAAGATTTTTGAATACTTAAATAGCTTTTATACTCAATAAATTACAACATTCGTATTGGCATAAATTTACAGGCGAAATGATATTCTCTTTAAACAAAATACTATACTATACTATAAGTAATTCTTTAACTTAAATGTTAATATTTATAAATAAATATAAAATAATATAAATAATAAATAATAAATAATAAATAATAAAAATAATATAAATATTTCTGAAAAAAATGTTAAGAAAAGTTGTGGATTACGTTGTTATATAATTATTTACACATTTTAACTTCTGATTACTAAAACTATTTTTAAATTTAAAGATTTGGCATTTTATTCGGAGTTTTATATTAAATCGGACATACACGTACATAAGTATAAATTTTTCAATTTTAAAATAAAAATAGAAAAAAATTAATTTATAAAAATTAATTTTTCATTTTGAAATAAAATTCCAAATATTTCTTTATATTTCTCAAAAATGTAATCAAAAATTACAAGTTATATTATTTTCTTAGAGTTTCATATAAATGACACTATTGTTATATCTATTATTATCAAAAAAATTGATAGTTTAATTAATGCGATAAGAAAAATCAAATACTCAAATATGAATCATACGACTCGATGTCGACTCGATGTTAAAGCTTTCAAAAATAATCTCTTTTAATTCCGACACGCAATTTATATCACTGTCATATATCATCTAACGTAATCGTTATCATCGAATAGTGCAATCATATTGCAACGATGTTGATGCAACATTATTTTACGCAATTTTGCACAATATTGCACTATTGGGATTTGATTCGGAATAGCGTGTACATTTTCTCATGAAAAATTGAAGGCTTGCTTCGATTTTGAAAATTTGCTGCATCCATATAGAATTAATAAAGTATTCCATAATTTAAGAATATTTCGAAACACTTTGACTAATGTTCAGATAGCTCGAGCAAATTTCACATCAAGTAAAAATAAAAAATAACAATTTCAAGTAACGAATCATTGCCGCTAATTTATTATTTTCATTTGAAAACTCATATAGAAAAAGCAATGTTATCCTTTGTCGAGTGAAATCAATCATTTTCAAATCAATTTTCGTTTCATTCAGTTCACCCTATTATGGAAGTGTACGCAATAATTATTTGAGAAGGTATCAATGTAGAAACAAAAGACAAAGTAGAAAATAAAATAAAAAGTTCTGTTTTGTTAACCAAAAAAAGAAAATAATTCTAAAACAAATTTTAATTGTTCGAATAATTAACTCAAGATTATTCCAAAATAGTATTGAATCATATAAGATAATGTATATATTATTTAAATAATCATGGCCACTATATTATATACATTATATATGTTATATATAAATATTAATAATGTTATATATAAATATTATATATATATATATATAATATAAAGAAAATATGAATACGATAAATTTTACAGAATTAAAGTTAAGATATCTCCTAAATTAATAGTTTCTCGACACGGCTGATACTTTTTTTTTTTAATAAGAGGATAAAATGATTTTTACGTGTTCATAAAAAAACTAACATTAGCATAATGTAGCTCCCTCGACACCATTCAATTTAGTTAATAGTTAATAGTTCTCTCTTTAACTGAAATAATAGCAATTTAATCAAGGTGTCAAGCTGTACTGCGTATACTTTTGTTTACAATTTATTTCAAAAAATAATAAAATAATAAAATAAAACAGTACTTATGCAACAAAGAATTCATAAAGTGTTAATATATATTAATAAAAAGAAATACAATAAATTAATAATAAAAATGAATTAATAAATAAAATAAAACAATAACTTAATAATAAATAAAATTAATAGTAAAAATAAATTAATATAAATAAAAGTACATACAAATACAAATTGAG